ACTTCATCATAGTTGGAGATGTGCTGGTTTGGCAGGCCATAAGCCATCTATCGGACATATGGTAATCGGAAGGAACAATGTCTGGACTATACAGCGGGTGGGGTAGGACTTTCTATCGAAGTGTTTCCAAGTACCTCCGTTTTAACTTCATGTGATCGAAATTACGGAGTTCGGCGGCTCTTGGCTTCAGATAATATGGCACCAAATTTCCTGCATTTCGGACCATTCCCATCGCTTCTAAACGACAGGAAATGCCTGGTTGGGTGACTCCCAGCGGTTCCGCAAGTATTGCTGGCGTTTATGATGAATCTTGATTATGCAATGTCTCCGATTCCATGTCCTCAAATTTTGGTGGAGCTCCGGGTCCACAAGCTTCACTTCTGACACGTTCGTTTAGCTCACCATAAACTTCAGCTTAAATACGGCGGCTTTCAGAAGCCTTTTTATTCATATTGTAGTAATAACGTAAAACTCCCCGAAAAAACACTCCAAAATGCGAGTATTGCCAGACCAAGTACCGGCCTTCTAAACAAGCAGGGACGTTGAAATGGAAACGGCACGAACTTATTTATACACCTAATGATTTGGAATGATTTTTCTAATATTCTCTATTGAGCTACTCTTAAATAAATGTGTAAATGTGTTTAGAAAAAAAAGTAACTCTTGGATTTTTTGGCTTCCCGAGAATTACAAAACAGACAATTTAAACGTTTTTGAAAAATTTAAGATAAAACGAGAGATGAACTTTTGAATGCTAACTATATTTTCATTAAATTTCAAAATTTTGTTTATATTTAAAATATGAACAATTTAAAAAAAAAATATTTCCCCAGCTGGCGCTTTTTGCCGAAATGCATTAATACACACAAACAAAGAGCGAACAGCACCCAACCCCCCGCTACAGCGACCCTTTGTTATGCAGAGCTGCGATAGAGCACAGACGACCCAGCAAGCAAAGTTAGGAGCACTCTTAATTGTGTGTCTGAAAAGAGCCTCGTTTCAGACTGTTTTCTGAGTCGGCACATAAATAAGAGCGTTTTCGGAGCACATTTGGTGCTCTCTAAGCTTAGGCTCATAAAACGCTCTTATGTCCGAGTATATTCTGAACGATGGTAAGTAAAATCACAGTAAAAATCGCGATTAAAATAACGGAATGCAGATTCTTGTGATAAGAAAGATGATTTAAAGTGCACAAAATGACTCAGTTAGTGCAATACGCAAGTGAAAGTCTGACGTGTTCAGTGAGTACAAAAAAAATGTGTGCAAACTTCATTTTAAATTTGATAAATTATAAATTATGAGTGTGCAAAGATCAAGTCGTAATGAATGTAAGAAAATATTAAGTGCCCTGAAGACCAGTAATCTACGTTGCTGTGAGTCTCTGCCACCGGAGCACGGCGAAGTGAATGAACCAACATTGGATTCAGGGCCTTATTTGGAGCAAAACCATATTAAAACGATGGATATTTAAGTGATGAAAGTAACCTTTCTGAAGACTCCGAAGAGCATGAGATCAAATCCCTGCGCGAGGAATTGTCAAACTGGGCAGTTGCATTCAATATATCGTGCTCTGCTTTAAATGAGCTTCTGCACATCCTGCGCCGTGTTCCACCTGATTTGCCATGCGATTCCAGAACTTTAAAGAGAACACCTAAAGATGGTTACTGTGTCTCAATGGATGGCGGCATTATAGTTATATACATTATGGAATCGCTAATTGCCTGACAGATTTTTTTGAAAAATATACTTTTAAAGAAAAGACAATATTTATCAATATAAATATTGATGGCCTGCCACTATTTAAAATATATTAATAAATATTTATAAAACTTCCCCTGTATTGTTAGCTGCCGTTTTTTATGGAGACAGCAAACCGAAAGATGTTAACGAATATCTTAATTTTTTTATTTCTGAGCTTCGTTCTCTTATTTCCACTGGTTATTTGTATAAATCGAATCATTTTGATATAAAAGTTAGAGCCTTTATTTGCGACTCGTCTGCAAGAGCTTTTGTTCTTGGAATTAAAATTCACAGCGCCTATTTTGGTTGCATAAAGTGCCATCACGCGGTGAGAACTTGGAAAGAAGAATAATATACAAACTTCAAGACAGTTTACCAAGAACAGATCAATTTAGAAATAGAGCACAGGTCGAGCATCACAATATTCTTTCTCCAATAAAAATTGAAGAGCTTCCATTAGATATAGTGCTTCAATTCCCATTTGATTATATGCATAAGAGTTATGAAAAGTTTGCTGAAAGGATGGATTAAAATAAGAGGAAAGGATTACTCCCTATCAAGAGAAAAAATTGATTATTTAAACAACAAGTTTATGTCCTTAAAGGCAGATATTTTTAAGGAGTTTGCCAGAAAACCGAGGAGTATTTTTGATACTGTATACAGGACCAGTAGTTTTGAGAGGAGTTTTAACAGAAAGCAGATATGAACACTTTATTCAACTTAGCGTTGCAATTAGAATTCTCCTAAGTAACAAATATTGCTTGACTAAAAATGTATGTGCTAAAGAAATAATTTGTAGTTTTATAAGTCAATTACCAGAGCTTTGTGACGAAACATTTCTGAAATATAGTTTTCATTGCCTGTCGCATTATGGAGAAGAATGTATACTTTACCAAGATAATCTACATTCCATTAGTGATTTTAAATATGAAAGTTATTTATACAAAGTAAAGCAAATGGTAAAAAAAGGATCTCAAGTTGCTACGCAAGTATATAATCGCCTTGTTGAGCAAACCATAATACAATATCAATTGGAGAGAGCGCTACAAAAATTGTAAAAAGATGTCAAAAAGGAAACATTCTGTCAATAAGAAATAAATACATATGTATGTCCATAAATGCTCCTGACCATATTTACATTGTGGATTACAGAGTTTATAAAATTGATCGATTTTCTGAAGAAAATAATGAAGTGATTGGAAATCAAATGAAATTTTATTCAACGAAAATCTGTTCACTTTGCCTTTTAGGCATAAAATATTCTTCTTCTTAACGACATACCGACAGTTCATAAAGTAACAGACGTTACCCAAAAGTCCATTATTTTTAATATTTCGTCTACAGCTTGTATAGTTGTCATTCCCATCATACACAATGAATAACTTTACCGAGCAATTTTGAAACGGAAACGAAACGGAATCGACAACTTCGACAAATACAGTCGATATGTCCAACGTTTCCTACGCCAACGTTTCCTTAACTTCTAACTTTGAATATCCTTCTACCTCATATAAGTATAATTATAAAAAGTTATTTTCAAAGACTATAAAGTAAATTTGTATTTTTTCAGCTATGTTGCAATTAATTTTCAACCAGATGCAAATATTGAATAAAAATGTAGAAGGTAGATAATAATTACTTTGCAATTTACGAGCAACACCAATTTATATTTTTATAGATCTTAAGGAAAGCTTAGTTAAATTGGAAGCTAAAACACAAAGATTCAAACTCGCCTACAAACGGAAGTGATAGCACAACGAAAGCTTGTACAAGGAAATAAGACTCGAATGCTGCTACTACCTAAGTCCTTTGATAAATTAGAAGACCTTAAACAATTTAAAGAGGACCTAAACAATTCAGCTGAATTGTGTGAACAACTGGTAAGACTAATTAAAATTGTGGTTAAATTTTCAATAAAATAATACAATCTATTTTTATTTTGTAGGAGACAAAAATGATAAACTATAACATTTCCGATCCTGCTAAATTTCTGCGCACTATTTGGAAAAAAATGTTTACGGATGATGATGTTACCAAGTATTCGTGGGACCAACACCAAAATCTGTGTCCTAAGCTTGGCAATTACACCAGCAGTTAGAAGTAAATATTACATTTTAGAATTTTGACTTTAATCGATTTTAATATTTTTTATTGAATTCTTTATTTTATTACTCCTTTTTAGATGCTTTCAATAAAAAATTTTCTGTCGACGAGAAGCAATTCTCATTAATATGCAGCAAATGGTTCCAAACTGCCAATGACAGAAATTAATATTATAACAAAACAGACAAAAAAGTAAAACAAAATATATGCAAATTTAAGAATTAATGTTTAAGTTTCTACTATTTCATAATTTATATTTAAAAATCAATGTTTAAGTTTCCTATATTTCATAATTCAAATTCATAATTATAAAAAATGTAAAAATGTATATATTTCAATTTTTGTTCAAACGAAAAAGAGTCTGAAAAGAGTCTTTTTCGTAGAAATTTAAGTGCCTAAAAATGGTACTTTTTTGTGCCTTTTCTGAGGGTTTTCTATGCTTCCATCGGAGAGTGAAAGCACTTATTTCTGTGTCAGAAAAGAGTCAGATCGGACTCAGAAATCTGCCTCTTAAAGTGCGACCGTTTCAAAGAGAGATTGTGCGATTTGTGGGTATTACAGTAGAAGTGGCCACTTTTTGAAATTAACTTGAGCTGCGTTAGAATTACTAGGATCTTTTATAGTATCCGAGATCCCGACGTTCATACGGACTGGCAGACGGACAGAAAGACAGGCACACAGACAAACAGGCAGACAACAAACAAACGGACAGATACGGACCTGGCTAGATCGACTCTCCTAATGATGTTAATCAAGAATATATATACTTAATACACAGTGTAATAGCTTCTGCAAATAAAGGTTGATTATTATAAGCATCATACTCAAAAAAAAGGGGGGACTAGTCCAAAGTCACCTGCTGTGATTTGTCTTACTCAGGTTGCCGAATTTAACGCATTCAAAGACAATCCTGCCTTCGAAGGCCAGGAGTCACACCAAGATTTATTATTCAAGATTTTTCTTGAAAAAATTTATTAATATCAAAATGTATCGGTTCATCGATATTTTAAAACGATATTTCCAAATACATATAAACGTAATATCATCGATACGATATTTTAAAAATGCCAAAAATATTTATAAAACAAAGTTAAGCCACCCTGTAGTCAGGTATTAACATTTTTTAAAACTTTCAAACAACTTATTGCTGCACTTACATAGAACATGAGCTTGCGTTCCAATAAACAAGACAATCGCGAGCAGCCGAAGGAGGCTCAGACTAGTTTCTGAGTTGTAGGAGAGTGTCGGCGTCTGGGCAGCGTTCGATGCTGGTGATAATGTCCTATATCCTTTTGAAAGCCTCATCCTTTGCACGGGGTGACGTGACTTGCGGAATGTGCTCGAGAGAAATCAGTAACCTTCATCATAGTTTCGAAAAACTCCGCTGCTTTCTGGCACTGAATCTTGTTGATAGTTGTGCAAATCTTTGCCTTTTTTATCATTTGAAATACTGAAATATGAGACAATAAAGAATTTAAGATAGAATTATAGAATGGTTTGCCTGACGCATTGAAACGATGATATAGAAAATTTGAACTCATTTAAAAACTCTATTACCCTAGTATATTCGCGAGGCAATTCTGGAACCTACAGATTGAACTTATAAACTATACAGCGTGTTCTGGCTTTCACTTTTCGAAAAGGAACAAAAAATGAGCCGGTTTACGCAAAACGCCAATTATGTAAACGGTCAGAGTTGTCTCCTGGTTTTGAAAATAAGGGTCTTCTTTAACATTACATTTGATTTTATCATCAGGGTAAAAAAAAATTATGTCTCCTTAAGTTATAAGCTTTTGCTTGTATTGTATTGTTTGAGACCTGTTTTTTGGTGGTGGATCTGGAATTTTAGCAACTTTTTCAGGATAAACAGGTTAAACGTAAAATAAAAAAAAAATGGTACCATCAAAAAATATAAATTTTCTTAACCATGTTAGGATTTGGTCGATTTAAATTTGTTAACCCGTTTTATTAACAGTTTTAATTTTTTTTAAAAAAATTAAAATAAAATAGAAGGTTTTAAGATCTCACATGTTTAGTGGCAATTAAGCATGCTGACCATATATGTTGACCCATTTTTACAATTTAAAAAGTATATTACAAATTCGGTCAGAGGATTGTAACGAATTGATTTCTGTATGGGCCTCGGAAACGCTTAAATCAAATAAATATATAAAACTACAACATCTTGAGTAAGATAATACCATAAGTAATAATTAAATAATTGGCCAGTGCGATATGACCCGTCTAGGGTATATAATATTAATATTTTTCGAGATACATCAACTATATAAAGTCCGATATTTAGCCTAGCTCCTTCCGTTCAAAAGATATTTTAATTTAATTTTAATTTTCAATTTTTATCAAATAAATTTTAAAGTAATTTTTTTAGTTTTATAATGAAAATTGAAAATAAAAAAAAATTTTATATGAAAATTTAAATTTTATAATTATACTTGATTTTTATTATTTAAATGAATTTTAACAACTAAAAATGATTTTAAAAAAATTTAAATAATAATTTTTTAAAATTTTATCTTTAACTTTTTAAATAAATTAAAATGGTTACGGTTCCTGGTTGAAATTTAAAAATGATATATTTATGGTAAACAAGTATAGCTAAGGAGCTAGGAGCCCAGAATGAACGCTATTGTCGAATTTCCAACGTTGGGTTCTTCTTTATTAATTATTTTTGCTAGCTTCCATAGTGCAAACTTGGATAAAGGTAAAGCATATTTCGCAAAATGGATTTATTAGAAATGTTAAGTACCATTAAGCTAAAACTATTAATTTAATTTAAAAACGTATTTTTATGACTCAATATTTCAACTTACCATGCTGAGCTTTGTGTTGTGCCTACGGTTCAGGATACCAGGAACTGTCGCAAATATATAATCACTTCCTTTGTTAACACACGACACATTAAAATCAAGACACTTACACTTTTGTATTAAGTTTGGAAAAAAAATATAATTTTATTAATTAGTTTTTATTTTGCGACCCTTGTCGACTCAAAACCAACACAATTTTACACAAAAAAAAATAACTTGCTGGGACTGTTCCAGAAAAGACAGAAAGAAATACGAAGTCTGGTGCGTTTTATTCATGCGCTCTATCCGGCGAGCACGTAGGTATCGCTTATCCTTGCAAACCGAAATGAACTGTCGTTCGCAAAAACTCTTGTCTCTGTTCTAAGCATCCAAATAAAAAGCTCAGGAGGTTTGAGTGAAAGCTTGGCTGCACACTCAACACCTGGTTGATTTACAAGCAGCTTTTGCAGAAACTTACCACAGCTTATCCCATTTCTCCTTTTGTCCCAAAGCTTTCCCCAGTATAATGCTAAAACTGGGAATTTTTTTGTCTGGGCGGGGTGGGTTGGAGTAATTGTAAGCCTAGTTAGTTAAAAACATTCATACATCATTCAATTTGTGTCCCTATTTAGCGGATAATGAATTTCTTTGTGGTTTGTTAAATTGATAATCATAAGAAACCCCGTATTTTTCATGTTAATGTTAATTTTTGTTAATACGATTTCTTGTTAAAATTAATAAAATGTTTGTAGCCGTTACAGTTTTAAGTTGTAGTGATTATTTTTTATTAAAAGAATTTGTTCTCAGGCTAAAACAACTGACTCTTATAGCATTTATAGCGATAAAAATTGTTTTTATTAAACTAACACTTAGCGTTAGCACTTCACAACGAGCAGTTACGATAAAAGATGTTTTTAGTCTACTTACAGAAAAAAAAAGCTAAGCCAAATATTGACAGAGCTTTCAAATAGGGCTGGAACCCGACTTTTTGTTATTTACCTAGTATTTTATCTACAATTTTAGATAACTTTTTATAAACAAGAAGAATAGGTTTTTGAGGTCATAAGTTTTATATAAAATAGGCTTAGGTACTTTACCTTTTATGGTCAAATGTTGGTTTATTATATTTGTGCTTGAACAGTGATCTAAATTTTTATTTAAAACCCTATGAGTATATTAAAAAGTGTGGGTGGAGTCTGCAGTCATGTGAAGAAAAGCGCTATATGAAGCTTTAGAACTCAAGCTAATAATATTGTGTTATATTTTTGATGCTTAACTCTGGTAAAACGGGAAGGAAAAAAAATCGATAAAATTCGAAAGCGATTAAATAGGAACTTTCATAGTTGGTTCTAAAAATGTTGGTATAAACGGTATAATTTTTGTCCAGAATTTTTATACCCTTGCAGAGGGTATTATAATTTCAGTCAGAAGTTTGCAACGCAGTCAAGGAGACATCTCCGACCCTATAAAGTATATATATTCTTGATCAGTATCACTAGGAAAAAAATGTTTAATTCTTGCAATAGCTGCAAGGGTATATGAACTTCGGCTTGCCGAAGTTTGCTTTCTTTCTTGTTTTTAATTAATTTTTCCGATTGTTCCTATGGTAGCTATATGCTATAAGCGTCCGATCTGGCTCGTTCCGACTTATTTACTACCTGCAATAGAAAGACAACTTTTGGGAAAGTTTCATGCAGATAGCTTTAAAACTGAGAGAATAGTTTGCGTAGGACGGACAGACGGACATGGCTAGATCGACTCGCCTAGTGATGCTGATCAAGAATATATATACTTTATAGCGTTGCAAACTTCTGACTGAAATTATAATACCCTCGGCAAGGGTATAAAAATTGTAACCTTGGTGTTTTTTTAATTTTGTTGTTAGTTCTTCGAGATATAGTAATGGTTAAATATTTCAGAATTACGTTTTAAATTTCACAAAAATCGGACGACTATAGCATATAGCTCCCATTAGAACAATCGGAAGAATAAAGGAAAAAAATTATAACTTATGTATTTTTTTAATTTTTTTGTTAGTTCTTCGAGATATAGTAATGATTAAATATTTCAGAATTACGTTTTAAATTTCATCAAAATCGGACGACTATAGCATATAGCTCCCATAGGAACAATCATAAAAAGAAATTTTTAATTTTTTAATTTTTTTGTTAGTTCTTCGAGATATAGTAATAGTTAAATATTTCAGAATTACGTTTTAAATTTCACAAAAATCGGACGACTATTGCATATAGCTCCCATAGGAACAATCGGATGAATAAAGGAAATAAATTATAACTTTGGTGTTTTTTAATTTTTTTGTTAGTTCTTCGAGATATAGTAATGGTTAAATATTTCAGAATTACGTTTTAAATTTCATCAAAATCGGACGACTATAGCATAAAGCTCCCATAGGAACAATCGTATAGCTGCCATAGGAACTATCGAATAATTAAGCTGCAAATCATTATAGCTTCAATGTATTTAAACATACACGCAAGTAAATCATAATTTTAACGTTTTCAAGAGTATTTAGTTATTGAAATAGCTGCAAGGGTATATGAACTTCGGCTTGCCGAAGTTTGCGTCCTTTCTTGTTATAAGTCATGATGACCAATTTGACACCACCTTTAATGAAATGTTAAATTAAAAAGGAACCTTTGATTTTGCATTTAAATAAGTAGAATATATTTGTGAAGCCTCCCTATACCCAACTCCAGACACGTCGGATATCTCAATGTGTGTTTAAAACACAGAAGTAAACCCAAAAATAATTAAAATATTGTATTTGTCTTTCAAGATATCCTATTTCCGAAGGATGCATACCGTGAGTGGCAAGAACCTAAGCATCGAAGAGGTAGAGGATGTGCAAAAATGGCTGCGTCAGAATAGTATCAGTACACACAGGTTGCGTCGCGAGTTTTCCGATGTTTTGCCACTCGCCGAGGTACTAAAACGCGACTATCCACGTCTGATCGACCTGCATAACTACCCGAAAAAGAGTAGCGTGCAGCTTAAATTGGCCAATTGGGAGACGTTTAACTTCAAGGTGTTATCAAAGTTTAACATGACGCTGAGCAGGGATTTCATGGACCAACTGGCCAACGGCGTTAACGGTGCCGCTGAGGTATTGTTGCACGAAGTGATTCGATTGGAGAAGCGACAGCGCGTGGCAGAGGAACGCAATGCGTCTCTGCGGCAGGAACAAGCTTGGGAGGAAAACGACGAGGTGAAGACTGTTGTGGTTAACAAGCAGGTGGGAGATGGCATCGTTCAAGTTCCACAAAAAATGATTCTTTACTCACTTTACGAAAAAATGGCACGTGACAGCCAGGCCAAGGAAATTATTATTGAAGCATACCAACAGAGACTGGCTCACATGGAGAATATAATAAAAATAAAAACAGAGCGAATCGACGAGCTTCTGATGCAGATGGGGAAAATACAACAAAAGGGAGCTGCTGGCGAGGCATCCAGTTGCTTTCTCGCATTTGAGGCAAAGGACAATGCACGCAAGCGTCCAAGTCTTGCTCCAATTTCATCGGCCGACCCGGACAGTACCAACTAAATACGCATGTATTTATTTTAAAAATGTTGCGGTTTTATCACTATGTAGTTAAAAATATTTTTAGATAAAGGAACTAAATTATCGATAACTTATATAATGATTTACAAAACAGATTCAGTTTGTGTAATCAGGGGCAATATATTTAGTAATTGGCAATCGATAAACGCTGTTGATATTTAAATGTATGGTTATTTTAATAAAAACTTGTGCCTAATAAAATAATTTTCCTGCTAAGGTAGCGATGAACTAGCCATCACAGTCTATACATATAAAAGTATTGCTAATTTTATGTTTTTTTTTAAATATACCGATCGATCGGAATAATATATTTCGGAAAATACATAGTTATTAAACACAAACAATTTTAGGGTAAACTTTTTCCACGCTACTCAAAAATTGTTTTATTAATGGAGTTACAGCCCTAAAATATCGAATTTTCAATGTTTGTTTCTTTAACGTTGGTAAAAAAATCATAAAGAAAGAAAACTTATGCAGGCTGGAATTTTTAGACCTTTACAGCTATTCCTAATATTTAATATCCTTTAAAATGACTACTTTCAATGTTTGTCCATATTTGTAAAGCTTTGTGATATCGTTATCTGATATTAATACAATTAAAACCGTAATTCTGAAATTAACCTTACTATATCTCGAAAAATAAATTTAAATAAATTGAAAAACGCCACATTTTTATAAATTTTATTTTTTCGTTTGTCTTCTTACTGCATTGCAATTTTTTGGCTGATATAATAATACCCTCTGCAAGGGTATAAAAAGAGATTGCTAAGTCATGTTAATGTGTTGTACTGTGCAATAAAATATTTATGTATATTAAACCATTTTTTCGCAAATATTGAAATACACATACGAACAAATTTAATACCTGATATGTCTGAAACTCGTGCAATAGATATTTGAATTGTGTTGTGTTGGTCTCTTGATCGTAGTATGGGCGTCAAGGTTCGAAGGTAAAAGAAGTTACATTTTCATTTACAGTTTTTTTTTCAGGTTTTAAGCAAATTTATTTGTTTTACGTTTATAAATTATATGTTCAAACACCGGTCTCACTGCACACCATAGATATGTTTCCTATTAAATACTGTTTTTTAACATTTGATTCTTGCATTGCTTTATTAAACATTACTTTAAGTTTTGTGTAGTAGTGCCAACACTTTCTACTTTTAACTATTGCGAGTCGCATATCGCATTCGTCAATCTTACCCAACAAAATATGATCCAGATATCTACGTAATTTTTCGTAATCCAAAAACTCCTGTATTAACAGCGATTTCTTTTCGTTACTCCAATTATCTTTGATTGCCACTCTTATCTTACGAATGAGGTGCTCAAACTCAATACTATGATTGTTGTTATTTTGATGATATGCTTCTAAGATGCTCATAAGTTTAATGGTACACAGATCATTGGTTGAATTGTTAATCTAAAGAAAGGATAAACATAAGAGGAAAACATTAGAGCATAAACAATGGTATTTACTCCGACTGTGACATTTAATACTTTTTAAACCCGATATTCGAAGAGTAAAAGGGGATATTGTCTTCGTTGAAAAGTATGTAAAATGTAGAAGGAAGCGTTTCCGATCCTATAAAGCAGGGGTGCTCACGCCAATGCACAATGAGCACAATTGTTTTTTTGGATGGCTGAGTCAAATGAAATTTGTTTTTATCTTTTCCTCGGCTCTACACTGACTTCCTTACTTGTATTTGTGATCTTTTTAAATGTGTTTTTAAATGTACTGTCATAAGGCAGTT